AAAATTCTAACAATCTAAACTTATTTTCTGGCTTTAAATAATCTGATGAACGGGTAGTAAGTTGTAGAAAAAGAATCAATATTTTATCTTAATTGTATTTCATTGCAATTTTTAGGCAGACAAAATCTTACTGTTGGAAAGTAGTATAGGTTTTATTTGTATGATCTGAAATTTTCTATGAAAAACACGATAAAAATGATAATTTACGAAACAAAATTAAAAATTATTTGACAAAGCTTTGTCTAAGATATTCAAACAATGCTATTAGTATTAAAGGTAAAAGCAATTGAACTGAAAAGAAGGCTAATGCGAGTAAAAAATTAATAATAATTGACAATAGGTTATCTGAATATTTCAGACAATATAAACCTGTTACTAATAGGTTTGGTTTGCTTTTCTTTTCTTTTTTTTTAACGGCATATCAACCTCAGTGGGTTATTTAATGCCAACAAGATTTTTATTTCTGGTAATATTTTTTAGTAGATAAAATATATTGCTAGAATTTTTGCTCCTGTGTTTTTTTATTCATATTTGTTTTGTTTGAATTAAATTGCGAGAAATGCGAATAAAATCGATTTGGGCAGAAGTAAAACATGCAGCACATAAAATAGAAGAAATTATCAGTTATATCATTATAAGTCTATTTACTACCATTGAATATGTGATTGGTTTGTTTTTTTGTTTTTCTTAAGGTATGTCAACCTCAATGAGTTATTTAACGTCGACTAGATTTTTTATTGCTGGTAATATTTTTTTTCAAAAATGTATTGCTGGTAAATGTTTTTTTTTTTCAAAAAGGTATTGTTGGTAATTTTTTTTTTTTTTTAAGTATTGCTGGTAATTTTTTTTCCAAAAATATATTGAATAAATAAAAATATTTTTTTCAAAAATGTATTACTGGTAAATGTTTTTTTTTTTTTTTTCAAAAATGTATTGTTGGTATTTTTTTCTTTTTTTAAAAAAATGTATTGCTGGTAATATTTTTTTCAAAATAGTATAACTGTTAATATATTTTTTTCCAAAAAATATAGCTAGTAAACTGCTGGTAATATTCTTTTCCTCAAAAATGTATTGCTGATATTAAAACCTAGATTTACACGTTCATAATATATTGACCCCAGTCTGGGGGTTAACTATTTGCCCATAGCTGAGACCCTGACAAGCGCTACAACCCCGGGTCAGGATGGACCTGGGAAAACCAGCAATTAAGACGTGACTCCACACTCCTCAAAACCTGATCAAAAGCCTTGCTGTATGATGTAGTCTATCGTCTTACCCAGGACGCATTTGTAATAGACATAAAGTAAGAGAAATAAGATGAACGAAATACTAGTAAAATAGATAATAATTGACAATGCTACATCTAAGAAATTCAGACAGTTTAAAACTATTACTGCTATGAGAAAAATCAATAGAAATAAAATAAAAGAAATAAGAGTAAAAACAATTATGATAATTGATATAATAATTTCAAAATAATATTCGTAATATGTTATTTGAATATTACGATAACATCAACAACACAAAGAAGACGTTAAAAGCATAAAATATTAATGACTCCTCTCAAAGTCACAGACAATATGCAAAGAGAGACTTATAAATTTTTGATATCATGTGTCAAATTTAAGAACGAGTTTGACGTAATAACGTCAAATTACTGCATGTTGGTTTTTCTTGAATTAAAGTGTGGCTTATTTCTCGGCGTCTGTCAGTCAAGCTACGAGGGACAGCCTACGTTCTTGGAATTTCGCAGGAGTTGACCACATAACAATATGTTCCTGCAACTCTTGGACAATGGTCGTTTAGCCAATCGACTGACTGACCGAGATATCAAGCTAGTCCGATCTCCTCTACACATTTATTGATTTATTCCTGAGCCAATGTTACAGACCACAACATATGGATGCACGTATCGAACTGAACTTATCTGTTGCTACCTCAGAGACTTTGTTCAAGCACTTAGAACAGACATCCGTCTGGGTAAGACCATAAACTACATGCCATAGCAAGGCCTCTGAACAGGAGGTTTAGAGGAGAATGGAACCACCTCTTAAATGCTGGTGTTTCCAGGTCCACCTTGACCCGGTATGGTAGCACCTATCAGGGTCCTAGCTATTGGAAAATAGTTAACCCCTTACAAGAGGTCAAAACAATAAGAAAGTATAAAATAATGTTTTAATACCAGCAATACTTTTTTTGGAAAAATTATTACCAGCAGTACATTTTGCAAAAAGAAAAATTTTACCAGCAGTCAGTCATTTATGTGCCATACGTGATACACGCTTAGGCAATCATACATCTTTCGATACATAACTGACGAGGCAGATTTTTCCCGCAGTAGGTTGCCATTTCATTCTGCGGTAAACCAGTTGCCATCAAAGGCTATAGAACCTGGTCTGTCCTGCCATTTACCCCTGAGGTGGGCCGGAGAAAAAGAAGATATTAGCACGCAAGTGAATGTATTGGGTTCGACTGGAATTCGAACTCTGCTCTCCGATTCCTTAATCCGAGCCGCTATTTTCGAAAAAGACAAATATTATTGGCTGTACATTTTTGAAAAAGTAAAATATTACCAGCAATACATTTTTGGATAAAACAAATTACCAGTAATAAAAACCTTGGCGGCATAAAATAAACCCATTGAATTTGATATGACGTAAAACAAAGCAAACCAAAACCAGAACAGACGTCATCGGGAGAAAAGAATCCTTGATGGGGAAGATATTTAGCTAATTTAATTTCATCTTATACTGTCTGAAAGTAATTAATTAGACTTTCTTTTCTTTCGCACAAATAATAAATGGTTTCGTGAATCATTTAATATTATCCAATTATTTGAAGATCCCTAAAATAAACGATTTATAACAAAGTTTTTTTTTTTAAATCCTAACGTTTAATATGCATTAACACTAACATAATCACGATAGGATTTGCTTTTCCTTCCTAAATCAGTATCAGAGAATTTTTCTGCAAGAAACTAAATCTAAATTTCAATATATTATTCCCATTATGACTGATTGTCAGTGGAAGGTTGTTTGTTTTTTTTTTTGTTTTTGTTTTATGGCATATCAACCTCAGTGGGTCATTTAATGCCAACAAAATTTTGAAATAGATTCATAGCGATAGTTTGGTGATAAAAAAAAACAAAAAAAAAACGTGTGTATATATATATATATATATATACATAGACAGGGTGTCCATAAAGTTCGTATGCACTTTAAATAATTTATAATACAAATAAAGTTATAAATTTTTTAAAGTGCACACTAAATTTATGGACACTGTATATTTGAACCATTTTTCAATTACTCTTATTTTTGAGTACAATCCAACTTCTTTTAGGAAATTTACAATCTTGGATGGTTTTATTTTCGTTTTTTTTTTAAATTACTCACTGGTTTGGTTTTGGTCGGGTTTGTTTTATGGGATATCAACCTCAATGTGTTATTTAATGCTGACAAAATTTTTATTGCAGGTAATTTTTTTTCAAAAATGTATTGCTGGTAATATTTTTTTACAAAGTATCTGTTATTAAAACCTATTTTCACACTTTCATGGTATTTTGACACAAGTCTGGGAGTTAACTATTTGCCGACAGCTGGGACCCTAACAAGTGCTACCACCCCGGGTCAGGGTGGACCTGGGAACATCAGCAATTAAGAGGTGGTTCAATGCTCCTCAAAACCTCCTGAACCGCTTGCTGTTGGATGTAGTTTATCGTCTTACCCAGGAATCGACTTTTAACGACGAGAGAACGAGACATCGATATTCGATGTCACATTGCATCCGGATAGAAAATAAATTCAGTAAATACAAAAAATAGAATCTAAAGTAAAACAACGATGTGTTTTATAACCTGACTTATTCAACATTTACAATGAAGCAATCCTGAGAGAATTAGAAGTCCTACCAGGATTAATTATTGGCGGTATACAGTCTTAACAAAATTAGATATGCCGATGGCACAGTGATAGCAGAGAAAAAATAAAGGAAAGTATAGAAATTTGCAAGTATAGAAATTTGCAAAGGAACTAAACATCAATTATAAGAAGGCAGAATGTATTGTTGCCTGCAAAAGACCAACCCAAGATGCTAGCTATAAAATGGAGATACCAAAATCAAGTCACTACAATAATTTATAAACATAGGATTTTTTTTAACAGGGGACAGAAATCCGACACCGACATTCGAATGCACATTTGACTAGAAAAGATGGCTACAAAAAACTAAGTAAAGTATTAAGAAAAAGAAAGGACTCTTGAACATCATACATGGAAACAACTTTTGAACCATCTCCTAACAGATGGAAAAAAATCAGCAAAAATATAAATTCAACTCTTCACTGGTAAGTCATATAATGATGGCATAGGTGTCCTCAAACCACTCAAGGAAATTACTTAGCTCTCTAATAGGAAATTGTATGCCTGCTATGTTGACATCACGGCAGAATATGACCACATAAACAAAGATTATTCCCATCTTTTACAAATCGCCTTCTAAGTCCCGGTCGTCCTGAGTATGACGATAAACTACATCCGCGTCCTGGGTAAGACGATAAACTACATCCATCAGCAAGGCCTCTGATCAGGAGATTTTGAGGAGCGTGAAAGTACCTCTTAATTGCTGGTGTTCCCAGATCCACCCTGACCCGGGGTGGTAGCACCTGTTAGTGTTCCAGCTATGGTCAAATAGTTAACACCCAGACTTGTGTAAAAATTGGCTTTAATATCAGAAATACTTTGTAATAAAAAATTATTACCAGCAATAATTTTTGAAGGACAAATTATTATCAGCAATACTTTAAAAAAATAACTAACAATACAAACAGTTATACATTCTTTGAAAAAATATAATCAGCTATAGATTTCTTCAAGGAGTCATATTCTCAGAAAGAGATTTTTGAAGAAAAACATATTACCAGCAATAAACATTTTGTCGACATTAAATAGCCAATTGAGGTTGATATGCCGTAAAACAAAACAAAACAAAACAATATATACTGAGATAGATAGATAGATAGATAGATAGATAGATAGATAGATAGATAGATAGATAAAAAAATATTACCAGTAATAAAAATTTTGTCGGCATTAAATAACCCAATGAGGTTGATATGCCGTAAAACAAAAACCAAACCAATCTAAATCCAAGTTTCGAAAGGATGCTGAGAATGATTCGGACTGATGCTGTGGTAACGACGAAGATTTAAGGAAAAGTGAAACAAAAGGAAAACATAATTAGAATAAGCAAAAAGGGGATTAAAATATCTAGGGCGCTTCGTGAGGAAAAACGAGCTTGGAAATTCGATATATACTAGAATTATTGAGGGTAAGAGGTGCAGAGGAAAACAGCAAATAACCTACCTATCGAGCTTCTGTAGATGGTATAACAGGGAATAGGAGGGATGACAAAAAAAATTACTAAGAGCTATAAAGGACAGGAAATTATGAAGGGACATGATCTTCAAAGGTAGCATTGTTTATAGAATTAGAACTTTCTCACATGGCCTACCGTAAATAATGAAAGCAACAGAACTTTGTTTCCATATATCTTTTGGTTTCGTATTTCGTTTACTTTCCTCTTTATTCAGTTGCGAGATTTCGCGCTTTGTGCCTGCAAAATTCTCGCGTGATTTCTATGTAAACTTCTTGGTTCTCTGAAAATATACTTAACTTCATATATATATATATATATATATATATATATATATAAAATCAAAACTGGGTGAGAACGTTTGGGGACCTTGCGGCAAACTATGCATCAGTTCCTTGTATTTTGTTCTTTCAAAAAGTGTGATCGGTTCTGCACAAGCCTTCACAACTATAATCAAATCATATGTTCGGATAGTCTGGCCGTTCTCTCCTAAGAACTCGGCGGCTGGACACTCGTCGAAAAACAAATCCAAGAGTCTACTCTCTCTCTCTCTCTCTCTCTCTCTCTCTCTCTCTAACCAAACACACACACGTGTGTAGGTGCGTAAATTTTATTTAGCCATACATCGATACAACTTTTTCGACTTATTAGGGTCCAGCAGCTCCGTTCTTAGGAGCGAACAGTCAGACTACTCGTACATATGATTTGATTATAGTTGTGAAGGCTTGTGCAGAACGAACCACATTTTTTGGAAGAGCCGAGTGAAGAGAACTGATGCACAAGCTCCCCAAACGAACCTTCTTAGTTTCTTAATTCAGAGCTGTTGTTCTCCTACACCCAAGGCTAAAAGACTCAGTCTGTCCTGCTATTTTACCCATAGCCGCGGGGAGAAGATATGGATTCATACATTTCCCAATTTCCCATTTCACGTAAGTGGATGTAACGAACTCAAATGGAATTTGAACTCAGCTCTCCGGTCCCTCCGTCCCCACAAAAATAGATAGATATATATGGGCAGACTGAGATAGATAGATAGATAGATAGATAGATAGATAGATAGGTAGATAGATAGATAGATAGATAGATATGGACAGACTGAGATAAATAGGTAGATAGATAGATAGATAGATAGATAGATAGATAGATAGATAGATAGATATGGACAGACTGAGATAAATAGGTAGATAGATAGATAGATAGATAGATAGATATGGACAGACTGAGATAGATAGATAGATAGATAGATAGATATGGACAGACTGAGATAGATAGATAGATAGATAGATAGATAGATAGATAGATAGATATGGACAGACTGAGATAGATAGATAGATAGATAGATATGGACAGACTGAGATAGATAGATAGATAGATAGATAGATAGATAGATAGATAGATAGATAGATATGGACAGACTGAGATAGATAGATAGATAGATAGATAGATATGGACAGACTGAGATAGATAGATAGATAGATAGATAGATAGATAGATAGATAGATAGATAGATAGAGAGAGAGAGAGAGAGAGAGAGAGGGGGGAACGACTTCCAGTAAATCGTCAACTCATCCGCACTTTGCACACTCAGCAAATCTTTTTTTATCCAATATTATTATTAAAACTAGAAATACTTTACAAAGTATGTTTTAAAAAACAAAATATAAACAAAATTTGACAGATGTAACATAATAATTTATTCATGATAGTCATGTGAAAATATTTGAAAAAATAATTAATCTTCAAAGTATATCATCATTGAGTCATCAGATCCCAAGGGAAATAACTCAAATTATTTTTTTTTAAAATCTTCGCATATTAAATAGTGAAATAAATTGTGCCAAATTTATTTTATTCTTAGTTCGCTTGCCTCGTTAGTGAGCCATATTTCTTCGCAAGACTAACTGCATTCTGTCTTCCATCAAATATTAGCGAAAAACTAAGTAACGAAAAACTTGGTAATACGTATGGGTAGTGTCAAGGAGGATGAAATCGTGAGAGCTCAATGTAAATTCAGAGCTAATAATTTAAAGAAAAACAGACCACTTTAAGGCTCCATTGTAATAGTTTATTTCATCAGAGACCTTTTAAAGGACGCTGGATCATCAGACATCATTTCCAAAAAGTTGAAACGAAAAATGAAATGAAAATTCACACTTTACAGTATTAAGTTTATGTAATTTAACAGAGAGAGTAACGAGGAGTAGTGTGAGAGACATGGTCGAGTTTAGAGAGGGTTTATTTTTATATTTCTTTCTATCATACTTAATATTGAGGAAGAAGGGGGTAAGAATCAGACAATGAGCTATTTAATCGGTCAACTCAACGGAGATGATATGTTGAAAGGGAAGGATATATATATATATATGCATATATATTATATATTTATTTATAGTATTTATTTTTTTATTATATATATATATATATATATATATATATATATATATATATATATATATATATAGCGTCCTGGGTATGACGATAATTTACGTCCTGGGCAAGACGATAAAATACGTCCAACAGCAAGGCCTCTGATCAAGAGGTTTTGAGGTGCGTGGAACTACCTCTTAATTGCTGGTGTCCCCAGGTCCACCCGGACCTGGGGTGGTAGCACCTTTTAGGGTCCCAGCTATGGGCAAATAGTTGACACCACAACCTGACTAAAAACACTATGAAAATGCAAAAATAGATTTTAATACCAGAAATACTTTTTTTAAAAAATTAGTATCAGCAATAAATATTTGAAAGAAATTACCAGCAATAATAATCTTGTCAGCTTTAAATAACCCATGGAGATTAATATGCCACACAAAAAAACAAACTATACATTTAAAAAAAATATTACCAGCTATATATTTTTTGGAAAAAAATGAAATTTTGTGGGCATTAAATAACCCATTGTGGTTTATATGCCGTAAAAAAAAAAAAAAAAACAAACTATGTATGTATATACATAAATATAATATTTATTTAAAATTTATATTACATTATATCACTTGAGAAGACACCAGGAGTGTTAAAAATGATGGTTATTTTTGTAGTGGTTTTATAACATGTTTATGTTATAATTTTCGAGTAAATAATATTTGATCTACTCTGTATTGACCACTCTTTTAAGAATAGTGTTTTTGGTTATTGGAATTTTATTCCGTCCACACAAATCCTATGCTTCCCTCTCTCTCTATCTCTATCTATCTATATATATATAAAATTAGGAAATCTGCTGATTACGTTACCTTGGTTTTAGCCATCCGATATCTTAGGGGATTTCGGTCAATTGATTCTCCAAATCTTTTTTTGAAAATAAAAATTTGTGAACACTATATTTCTAAAAAAAGTAAATATATGAATAACCGCACGGCGTGAGGTGTGGTGGAAGGTGAGGAAGAGGGGAAAATCAAATGTATTGGAAATATATCTGTGGGGGATTAACTGAAATATACATAGATTATTTTTATTCCACTTAAAATGAACTCAAAAGTATGTATCCAATGGGACATAATTTCAAATCTCTCGTTTAAATCTTAAACCCTCTACATGTTAAATTTTATTTTTTTATGCGTGTTGAGCCCCTTTTAATACTACTGTTTCCTGTTCTAATTCAACTCTGACCATTAACATCTTTATTATATACTCGACTCTCCCGTTGAATTCGACGTCTGAGGGTCAAGCAGCTCAGTTCCTAGGAACCGAAAGCCCGACACCAGCACATGAGATTTGATTAGAGTGATGAAGCTTTTGTGCAGAAACATCCACACGTTTTGAAGGGCCGAATACAGAGACCTGGTGCACTATGTGCAACAAGCTAAATGACCCTCCGCAGGTTTTGAATCCAGAGTTGTCCTTCTCCTAGACCAGTTGCCATCCAAGGCTATAGAACCGAGTCTGTCCTGCTATTTACTCATAACTGGAGGGAGAAGAGGATTCATACGTTTCCCAAGAGTATTAGGAAGTAAGTGAATGTAATAGATTCGACTGGAATATATATATATAAATATATATATATATATATATATATATAGAGAGAGAGAGATTAGAGCGTAGTTTGACTAGAAACTGATCAGGTCATTTTTGAGGAATGGAAGAGTGCAGTTGGTTTCAGTTTCAAAAGTGAAGTCTGTTGGAGGTTCAACATTGGTTGAGAAGATCAGTTAAATTAGTATATTGTGGATATATTAATTGTGAGTCGTCTTTGTATCTGAAATAGGAAGAGTTATATATATATATATATATATATATATATATATATATATATATATATATATAAAACGAGCGAGATCGAGAGGAGAAAGGAGATTATAGGCAGGATTAGGAAATAAAGGATAATTGAGAGAAAAGTTCAAAATTTAACTGCTCACCTCGCAACTTTAATATAAGCAAGTGAACACGTGCTACCTTCTCAATAAAGAACCAAATTATTTTTTTGTTGTTTTTTTTTTGAGGGGGAACAGGATATCCGGTTAATAAATGTTTTACTCTTAAACAGGAAAAGTCTTATAGAAAATGGAAATTAAATTAAATTAAAGCAAATTGTCAAAATCACATGCGATAATATAAACATTTTGAAGCGTAGACGGAAACAGAAGTACATTAAATAGATTTAAATGAAATATTTATGCAAAAATTGTTTTTTTTAGTGAAATCTAAAGATAGAATTTTTATGTTTTGTAATTTAGGGTTTGGTTATTGTCATTCTAACCGTTGTTCACATAAAGGAATTGATTCATTTCCTACACAAACAATATTTCGCGCGCTTCATTCTTCAGCCTTCCGTATGTGGACAAAACTGGATGAAGTTATACGAATTTCGAACATTATCAGTGCGAAATTTTTTACCGTGTAAAAAAATAATTGAGAGAACACCTTCCTAGTGACATCAGACTCTGAGAGGATTCATTTAATCAAGGATTTAATTTATAAAATCAATAAATTTCTCTTCTTTTTTATTTGCCGTATACCCTCAGTACGTAGGCGATCATGGCTCTCCACAACGTCCTGACGTTTGTCGTTCTTTATAAACTTTATCTTTCTGCTATTTCTTCTGTTCGGCCAACCACTTGCTCACCAAACATGTTCATTTTACCCTCTAAGTATTAGATTTTCCAAGCACTCCCTCCTTATGATGTTCCAAAGAAACCTCAACGGTCTCTTTCTGATGTTAAGTATTAGGTTCCTTTTGTTTTCATTTTCTCCAAGACTTCGATTTTCTGTTTCTTAGTAATCTGCTTATTTTTGGGAAGGCATCTTTGTCTATTCCAATGAGCCTCCGGATTGTACAGTTGCACTTTCCGTCTTCTGTTAAAACATTTCCCAGATACTTAAATTGTTGTATTACTTTGATTTGGGCATCTATGATTTCTCCTTTGCATTTTGGGGTCATCTTTTTGCTAACAATCATGCAGGTTCTTCTTGCAGTTCATGAGACGAAACATCCTTGTCTTACACCCCTTTTAATTTTCTATTTTCGCGGAGCTTATTTTCATGGGTTCCTCCGAGCCCGTAGGATCGGCCAAAAATATTCCCTTAGAACCCGCATAAGCGGGTTCGGGATCTGTCTACCTCCACCGACAAAACAGTCCTTCGTCAAAGCTTCGTCCGGGTTCCTCTCTGCCAAAGCAGAGAGTTCGACAGAAGTCGCACACAGTCAGAGACTGCGGGTCGACTGCCTGTATTATGTATTAGGGTTATTCTAATATTATGTATTAGTGTTATTCTAATATTATTTATCAGGGTTATTCTAATGTCCTTTCAAAATATGACGAGGCTGCTTAGCATTTCCAACAGATCTTTGCGGTGTACTTTGTCGAACGCCTTTGCATCATCTATAAAATACAGCTGCTTGAATACGAAGATGACAGGGGAAGATTGTTTTGGGACAAACTTCCAATAGGAAAGAATTATTTGGAAATTCAGAAAACGAAAACCTGAGGTTTAATGAGCTTAAATGCTGGCTTCAGCAGAAAATCCGAAACTGCTTCATCCATTAACTAGTTCTTTTTATGTTACACAAATAAATTACACAACATAATCCAAAATTGTCTTATATGGTGGGATTTGGGATTTTGTTGTGTAATTTATATACTTGTTATAATAAATACATTGCTTTCTTTTTGTGGAGCAGTTGTAATATTTGATATTACTAGGATACACTTGGATTTCATACCAACGGATTTATTACCTGCACTATATATATATATATATATATATATATATGAAAAAATATAGTTTTAAGGTGTGCTATATTTATGGGATAAAGTGGTCAATATCAGAGATAGAGCGTATGTAAATATAAATATAAAAGTGAACATTGAAGTCAACACTCAGGGCGACAGGCTGTTTCAATTAGACGTCAAGCGTCTGAAACAGCCTGTCGCCTCTGAGTGCTGACTTCAATGTTCACTTTTATATTTATATTTAAATAGATAGATAGATACAAATAGACAGACAGACTGACTGACAGACGGAGAAAGAAAGAAAGAGAGAGAGTAAGGTGTATACTTTCAAAATATCAGTTTTTTTTGGGGGGGATGAGGAAAGCTATATATAGAA